GAAATGATTGATAGAACGAAATGATAGATAGAAAGAAACGATTGATAGATAGAATGAAATGATAGACAGATAGACAGATATATATTGGAGGGAGATGGAAATGGAGATAGATAGATAGAATCTATGAATGAATGGATAGATGACAGAATGGATAGATGGATCAGTAAATACATGGAAAGATATAGATGATGGATGGATGAATCGAGAGATAGAGATGATGGATAGATACATATAGGATGGATGGTGAGAGAGAGAGAGATACTCTCAATTAATACACATGAACAAAAAAAGTCTAAAAACAAATATACTAGCCAGGCCAAGATATGATATCTGGGCCAATTTTGTACGTATACACACACACACACACAGCCTATATCGCACTCCCTTCAGGGATAAATGATTTTTTTTGCACTTTGCAAAAAAAAATAATCAGAAAAGGCATTAAACAATTAATTAGCTAAAGAAATGGAAGGTATAAAACAAAAGGAGGAATCTCTTACTCTGACATCATGCCCATCAGAGTGTTAGGATAACAAGAGAAGCTGTCCTACCTCACAGGATTGTTGTGAGTTCAAAAAATTCTATTAGCCCTCCAATCCTCGGGCCTTCTGCACCCTGAGCCTGCAGGAGGCCGGAGGTCCCCCTTAAACAAAAGGCGCCCCCAAATTTCCCATTGAACCCCCATTAATGAGCTGCAGCTTTAAATGTTTTTTTTTCAAAATCGCCCGAAGGCCCCGCCCCTTCCCTTTGGGCCCCGCCCACTTGCGCGCCCGCGCCCTCTAGTGGCCACTCACGGGGGCGGCTCTTGCGGTGGCAATCCGGGCGCGGCCGGGGGGCGGGGCCATCACGCTCTTTCTCGCGGCCCGCGGCGGCCTCCGCCTTGCTCGGCCCGCTTGCGCGCCGACGGATGCCCGAGGCCGATACCCCCCGCCGCCGCCGTTCCTCCGAGGATCCTCCGGCTTCGCTTCCCGTCTCCATGGCGGGCGGCGGCGGCGGCGGCGGCTCCGCGTTAGCTTGTCGCTTGTCACTTCCATTCTGCAGCGGCTCCATACGCCGCGGCGACAGCAGCCAAAGCGGGCAACTGCGCCTGCGTCGAAGTATTCCCTCGCCTTCTCTTTCCTCCCTCAGAGTACGGGGCCTTCAAAAAAAGATATGTGTCCAATCGGAAGCATTCGCCTTTGCGACGACAGATAAAGAAGCCAATGAGAATGAAGCGAAGCCTGCGGGGCTGGGATGAAAGGGGAGTCCTTCCAATGAGCGTGCGTCTGCCTTGGTTGAGCGACAAAAGCCCCCCCCCCCCCCAAATAAAAGCCTCGCGCGGTAAGATGTAGTACTGAGAGTTAGGCCTGAAAAGGGGCGGGGTGAATAACGGAATCGCCGTAGCCAATCCGCTGCTCCGCAGGGGAGACTGACAGTCGGTCTGCCCAATGAAAAAAAAAATGATGCTAGAGGCTGGATTGAAGGTGATGATGGCCAGGCCGGGTCTCCATGGCTACCTAAACAGGGAGGGAATTTGCAGCAAGAAATAAATGCAAGCATATTAATCGATGTGCAAATATATACTGCACTATGTGTGTGAAATTAGTTTGGCCTTCTTTATATTTAATATGAATTCCATCTTTTTCATGCTGCGCCTTGATTTTTACTACTAGACTTTTCAGATCCTTTGCATTTTAACCCATCAAAATATCTTAAAATAACTGTCATTTGACTGAGAGCACACTGGCCCATATAAAAAATGAAATTGTGTTGCCTGCTGTCAAGAGAATGTGTGTATCTACCCAAACATACATAACACACACATACATGTGCTATATAAATATGTAAATATATATCTACTCCATATATCTACATCTATCCATCCAAATCTCTTATCTATCGTCTATATCCTATCTCTATCATTTATCTTTATTCTTTTTTTATATCTATCTAACCATCCATCCATCATCTCTCTATTCTATCTCTATCCTATCTATCATCTAT